TTTAGTGTAATGTGTGTCACCAAGAAAGCATTTTTCATTTATGTGTATATAACACTGCGACTTCTATATATTAGCATCTACCTCCTCAGCTTGAGGGAAGGCTTCTTGTGATGAGTTTTGATCCATCAATTGACTTCCTTATCACCACCTGATTTTGGTGGTTGTCAGTATATTGTAATGGTACAAAACAGAGTAGTACTTCAGTAGGATGGTATATTAACATTATATCATAACTGTACATTTAAGGTAATAATATGAAACCTTAAATGTTGCTGTCATAAAGTTCTTTTTTTTGCACTGTAGTTACTGTTCAGTTAATGCAGATAATGTAAAACTTTTAATTTACATCTGTTTTCCTTCATTACAATTTATTGACTAGCATTTAATCTCGTCATAAAGGTTCATCAACAAATTGTTTGGTATACATGTAATTTGCTGCATGATGAACAAAGGTTGCCAAATTAGTGTAACTCACCCAAAGGTCAAAAGGTCAGCTACAGTATCAATTCAGTATACAGACAAAACATTTTGTGAAGAAAACCTGTAGGCTGCAGGCTATTGCATTGTACAATAGTAACAGTATCAATAGTATTGTCTGTTCTACTGTTAGAATTGTCTTCATTAATCGTGCCTTTTGATTACAGAGTGAACAGATATTACAAGAATTGTGAAATTTAAATGAATTTGTTTAGGTAATGTATGTGTATTACCTAATATGATGTAAATCACAGCACTGACATTTTCATTTTCATTCAGCACCAGGACGATTTTAAATTGTCTCTTGCATTGTGAAATGACACATGTATGACCCTAAAACAGCACAAAAACAGGTTTGAATGAATGACAAGCTATGTTACAAGTGTGATTTGTGGATTTCCAAAAACCTGAAAATAGTATCCTAAGCCATTAAAAAAAAAAAAACTTTAAAGTATAAGGAAACAATAAATATTGAATTATTTTGGAATGTTTAAAATTGACACTATGTCTCAACCTGGCATTAGCTATGCCAAGGTCATGGGTTTGATTTGCATAAACTGACCTCCACAGTACAGGTGCATCTCAATAAATTAGAATGTCGTGGAAAAGTTAATTTATTTCAGTAATTCAACTCAAATTGTGAAACTCGTGTATTAAATAAATTCAATGCACACAGACTGAAGTAGTTTAAGTCTTTGGTTCTTTTAATTGTGATGATTTTGGCTCACATTTAACAAAAACCCAAAATCCTGAGCCAAAATCATCACAATTAAAAGAACCAAAGACTTAAACTACTTCAGTCTGTGTACATTGAATTTATTTAATACACGAGTTTCACAATTTGAGTTGAATTACTGAAATAAATTAACTTTTACACAACATTCTAATTTATTGAGATGCACCTGTATATGTGTACACTGGGAAATGCAGGCGCATCACAGGAAGGCTGACAGAGCTGGGTAGTAACTGATTACATGCAATCTGGATTACGTAATTCCAAAAATTAAGGACTTTTTAAAATACTTGTAATCAGACTACAGTTACTTTTTTATGGATTACATGATTACATATTATTCACACAATAGCAATAAATTATTCATAATTTATTGATTCTCCCTAATTCCTCTTTTTCATACTTAAATTTTTCCTTTCTAAAGTAGTCTAAAGTAATTAGTAATTAATTAGTAATATTTACATTTACATTTAGCAGAGGCTTTTATCCAAAGCAACTTACAAATGAGTACAATGGAAGCAATCAAAATCAACAAAAGAGCAATGATATGCAAGTGCTATGTGTAATATGTAAGTGTAATATGCATTGCTAAGGACTACATTTGGACAACTTTAAAGGCAATTTTCTCAATATTTAGATTTTTTTTGCACCCTCAGATTCTAGATTTTCAATTAGTTGTATCTCGGCCAAATATTTTCTTAGGATAAGACAATATTTGGCCGAGACACAACTATTTGGAAAGCTTATTTATTCAGCTTTCAGATGATGTATAAATCTAAATTGAAAAAAATTGACCCTTATGACTGTTTTTTTTTTTTTTTAGTGTTTTATTTTGATTGATTGATTGACTTTAATTTAACATTTTTATGATTTAATTATTAGTTTTTCATTAAACTCACAAACCCCCCTGCAATTCCTTTATGAACCCGTTTGGGAAACCTTGATTACAACGAATGGTATATTTTCTCACTCTTTGTATTTTTATATTGATATGGTACAAGATGATCCTATTTAAATCAATGTGAAAAACGAGATAGGTCAAAAGTAATCTAAAAGTAGTCTGATTTTATTACCTAATATGTGTAATGTAATGGATTACATTACTAACTACAATTTTTGTCATGTAATTTGGAATCAGTAACGGATTACAATTTGTAAGTAATCTACCCAGCTCTGAAATACAGTAGGAACATGCCACAATATACAACACGGTCCAAGAAATAAGACTACTGTCAGATGCGAAGTGATTTCATTGAGGCGATGACATACATATCACACTAAAGATTGTTCATGTAGAAGTGTTTTTCACCTAAAACACTGAAGTACATTTAGTCTTTACAATCCTAAGAAAAAGACTCAATACTGTGCACAGCCCACATTCCCCCAACCCACAAGTCCTATTTGCATATTATAAAATGGCTTTTGCATGGACACTAACAAAACCAGGTAAACTGCATGTTTCCAAGTAAAAGGAGGTTTAATTATCTATATCTGTATGAATCAAAACGTGAAACGTGGGCTTGAATGATGAAAAGCATGGCCTTTGTGTCTTCACTGAACATCCTCAGAAACGCTGTCAGAGAAACCACAGGCGAGTAAATGAATATTTCATTAAGGTCTATTGAAACAGAAGATCAAATGACCTTGTTTTAAATCATTATTCCCTGATAAAAAATAAAAGTGGATAGGGGGAGAGTGGAAGGGACACACTTGAAACTTCAACTTGTCGAATAAGCGTGAATAAATTACACAAACACGCAATATGCAAATAGCACAATTCTGGCATATCATTGTTAATGAGAGTGTTTAACTTCCCTACTTGCTTTCATCTAGGTCTTCCTTTCTTTTATTGTCTGAGATTGTTCCTGTAACAAAAACAGACATGTCTGGCCTTCGCTGCATATCATTCATCGCCAAAACACAAGTTTAGCTTTGGTGCCCAGTGCCGCGAACAATTTAACCACTTATCCAACTTGGATTCAACCTTCTAACAAAGTCTCCATTAAACACGCTGACAGTTTACAGTGGACTGAAGAAAAAAAAAAGTTAATTATGATAACTCTGCGAAATTTACATATTGTGCCTTTAATTAAGCAGCACAAACATTTTCAAGTACTACTAAATTATTATTGTAAATAATAATAACATAATCATAATATAAATTTGAAAAAAGAAAGCAGTTTTGTAGGGCATGAGTATAAAAGTGGCTTTGAAATGTACCGCGTGACATGATGTTGCACACGTACCATGCACAACACTGAAAACAGCTAGATAAAAACAAAGACTTTCTTAATAAAATAAGAAAAGACTTTAATATGTAGATCGGACTGATCTTATTCATCAGATGAAAGGAGATTCAGCAACAGACATCCTAGCTGAGCCTTGAAATCAGGCACTATACGCCATTAAACAGATGATTTAAACCGAGAATGTCTCTGAATCTGAATGCTTTAATGACCTTCCCTGCTGGGAGACCGTTGTGCACGCTTATAAAGTGGCGTCGTACACACATTTTTGCAAAAGAAATCAAAAGCAAAACATTTTCTCTGTTTTGATGCGACATCATTTGCAAGTCGCACTCCGGGTTCGACTTTTTTTTTTATTAGCACATCCGTGGGCCGTAGCGCTCGGAAGGCGGTTCCTTTAAAAAGCGTTTATGGTGTTGTTACGGGCCGGCACAACGTAACTCTCTCACAGAGCTCCCTCCATCACACAAGTATCTGTTGACATGATCCTTAACACAGATATTATGTGAGGGGAGCTTTTTAGCAATCTCCAAATTATGCAGGCGCGTTTCGACGCGTGCGGGTCAAGGCTGGCTGCAGCCATTACAGCTAATGAGTGTGGAGTCCTACTCTAGCAGGTTCGGCCTCATAAAGTTACTTAAAAGCCAACTAATGGAATCATACTGATGGATAGAATGCTGCAGGTTTTGTATCATTACAGGATAACATGCCTCCGTGCATGTTAAATATGATGAAACCAAATGAACTCGGAGTCACAGACAAAAAGACAATCCCCTGTCACGGGCGATGTAGATTATTGATGGCTGGGAAACAGTTCTGGAAATCCGTGCACAGCAATTTTAGTTTGCAATGTTATTTTCAGGTCCATTAGAAAAAGGGTTACAGTCGTTATCACTGATTGGCTGTTTTGGAAAAATAACCGTTATTACTGTAATGATATTGCTGTGTTTGATCAGTGCTCTTTTCAATGCCTAATCATAATTATCTGTAATTTTAACTATCATGTGGAGTCTAAAAATAGCCATTAGAGGGGCATATTATAACAATGAATCGAAGCCAGCACGTCACATGCTTTGTACATTAACACAGACGTCTGTGGCTATGATGCAAAATGTATAAAAACTAACTTGCCATCCCCCAAGAATCAGCCAGAGAGCATAAAAATGTGCGCACATTTGCAAAACAGACAAATCCTGAAGTGGACTTTGCAGCGCGCATATCGTCGGTCAGGGAGACGCCCGGCGTCGCGTTCGGCTGACAAAATCGATTTTCTACCGCCACAAATACAGAGAGCGTTTGTTTCTATATTGAGATGAGCACAATGTATTTTGTCCTCCTAAATGGGCCAGGGGTACTTGAGTGAGTTCAAAGGTGTTTCAGCAGCATGCAGAGTGGCCATTGTGCACTGGCTTTTCATAGGAGTTGACTCAGAGCATTCCACTCCAACTCACCGCCAGGTACCTGCAGCATCTAAAATGCGTAATATTCAACACAGTGCAAAGGAATCACTTTAAAAACCAAGTTTAATCTATTTCAACCAGGTCCAAGTGTTGTTCAGCTAAAGAGATTCAAGCAGGGTTAACACCGACATGTTTTGAAAACTCTTCACAGTCTTTGGCCACAATAAAGAGGATGGCTCTTTTTTGTTTTCGTGGAATGTCGCACTCATTCCTCAGTGAAGATTTTTGTTTGTTTTGCGATCGTATAAAGGCATCTCTTTCAAACATATTAACTGCTCATTGAAAAAAATAAAAAAACGAGTGTGAGCTCTCAAAAGAGAAATGTTAATCATAAAAATCATCAAAGTCATGGCTGCTGGTGTTGCGGGACTGAGGACGCAAGGCCATTTCGATCTCAGAATTGCTGTCATCTGATTCTCCCCAAAATGCTGCAAGCAAAAATATATATGTACACCATTAACATCTGTTGCAGTAAGGAGGCAGAGATGAATTTGCCCATGAACATGATATAAAATGATAAAAATAAAAAAAATATAAAAGTAAATAATTCCACAGAAAGAAAAAAAAAATTAATAACTTTTGGGTGTTGTACAAAATATAGAGACCAAAATATAGATAACACACATAGTAACAAGACACACACTATTAAGATTTTTTTGTGAAAGAAGTCTCTTATGCTCACTAAGGCTCTATTTATTTGATCAAAAAATTCAGTAATATTGTTAAATATTATTATAATTTAAAATGTCTGTTTTCTATTGTAATCTACTTTAAAATTTAATTTATAGCTGTGATCAAATCAGTATCATTATTCCAGTCTTCAGTGCATGCTGCTCAATAAACATTTCTTATTATCATCAGTGTTGATAAAAGTTGTGCTGCTTCATATATTTTGGAAACCGTGATACCCCAAACCTTTGAATGGTAGTGTAAGTAAAAAACACACACACACACACACACACACACACACACACACATATATATATAAGCTATTTATGTTTACTTACCTATTTATTAAAGAATCCTGAAATAAAAGTATCATAGTTTCCACAAAAAATATTAAGCAGCAACAACTCTTTTCAATATTGATATATTAATAAGAAACATTATTAATAATGTTTTCTGAAGGTGACATTAAAGAGTTACGGCTGCTGAAAATTCAGCTTTACCATCACAGGAATACATTACATTTTAAAACATATTCAAAATAGTAAAGAGCTATCTTAAATTTTGATAATATTTCACAATGTTGCTGTTTTTACTGTATTATGGATTAAATAAAGGCAGTCTTAGTAAGCATAATTATTCCAAACGTTTGACTGGCAGTGTACTCACAGAATGTAGGCAGTACAGTAAACAGTTCGCGAGTAGTAGTGAATCTTAATGTGGATTGTAAGCATTAAAATAAAGAGATATCTGAAAAGTTGTGCTGCTTCATATATTTTGGAAACCGTGATACCCCACACCTTTGTGTGGGAGTGTGTAAAAAAAACACACACACACACACACACACACACACACACACATATATATATAAGCTATTTATGTTTACTTACCTATTTATTAAAGAATCCTGAAATAAAAGTATCATAGTTTCCACAAAAAATATTAAGCAGCAACAACTCTTTTCAATATTGATATATTAATAAGAAACATTATTAATAATGTTTTCTGAAGGTGACATTAAAGAGTTACGGCTGCTGAAAATTCAGCTTTACCATCACAGGAATACATTACATTTTAAAACATATTCAAAATAGTAAAGAGCTATCTTAAATTTTGATAATATTTCACAATGTTGCTGTTTTTACTGTATTATGGATTAAATAAAGGCAGTCTTAGTAAGCATAATTATTCCAAACGTTTGACTGGCAGTGTACTCACAGAATGTAGGCAGTACAGTAAACAGTTCGCGAGTAGTAGTGAATCTTAATGTGGATTGTAAGCATTAAAATAAAGAGATATCTGGACAATGTGCTGGCAGCTGCCTTTAACACCAGACACCACATGTTTTTAATATTTTAGCCATTTGTACAGCGGTCTTACCCTTTGACTGGACAGCAGAGAAAGCTTTACTTTCTGCAGTCTTCCTGTGAGAAATGAAAAAAAAAAAACAAGAGATAAGACTACACATATGTAATAACAATAAAATTTTGTTTCACAACATAAAAGCACAAAGAAGAAAAAAAAAAAGAAACCTCAAAAATGTTTGAACCTCATCATACAATCGGTAAAACACATTTGTCATCGCTCAACATCAATTCAGCCGCAACACACAAAATGCTCCAGGAAGCAATCATCTCTTACCAAAACGTCGTCTTTTCTTTCAAAGGTACCCAACCAAACCCTGAAAAACATAATTTCCCCTTAGATGGGGCGAGTGGCCAAATAAACTTCCTTGACTTCTTTTCTAATGGTGCTGAAGGACCCGGTCAGGGCTCTCTATTCATAAGTGGACTGAGCGCCGGGTTGCCGGGTTCCCATAGCATCACTGATATCTCTATGTAAATGCATGACCCCTGACAAGCCTTTGATCTGCATTGATGCATATGCAAAAGCTCACGCTACTTTTCATACAGGCTTCCTTCTTCATTTACATCAGCACAGGGCTATTCAGATCAACAATGACAACAATGACATCTTCATCTTCACCCTCATCCTCACCCTCCATGTCTTCATACATCCATATCCTTGATTTCGTTTTCACGTCCATGTACTTTAAAGGATTCTGGGAGTAAGAGTAAGAATATTTAGTTTCCCTTTGATGCATTTGGATGAATAAACCAAACGCCGATTGTATGTGTATTCACGTGTGTCCCGCCGACCCGACGGCAAATTCAGTCATGTGCGCACAACCTTGACACTGACCAAAGGAGCTGTAAAGATGTAGTTGAACTCAATTAGGCTGGCTCTCATAAAATTCAGCTTAGCTCTTTTGTTTCCAGAGCATCTCTGCACAAAGTACGACATTTCATAAATTCTATTGATGCATGCATGCAATGCAGATGGCTATGATCAGGGTCAGAACGAACAAGTTACATAAATCACCTTTGGCTCAATAAGAATACAACTCCAAACTCATAAAACACAGAAAATCAAAGTTACAGTAGACAGATACAAAAAGTACCACAGATGCATTCACTCCCAGGGTCAAAGGACGTGACTGACATGAAGCCCGTGAAAAACCTTTCTGAAACAGATACTGGCAGCTAAATTCTTTTTCATCAAAGTTTACAATATATAGTAGACCGATCGTGAAGGTTACTTTGATGGCTTTAGAACAGGGGTCGGCAACCTTTTCGGCATGACGTGCCATTTTTTAATTCTCTGGTTAACCACTGTGCCAATACCACCCCACCCCCCCTCCTTTTTAAATACATTCTGTATTTATACAGTACATAAATATTTTTAAAAGATACAATAAAAAACAATAGGCCTTTTTGATTTATGCAAATAGTTTCTGAAGATTTTTTTCATAAATTGTTTTTTAAACTTTTCAAAAGTTTCTTGAATAACAGATATACAGTGTGACCGTACTGAACACCACTGTATGTATGTGTGACAAGGCCAATGCATTAAAACCATTCAGTTTAATCTCCGTTCTATATTAATGCGCTGCTTTAATTGATGCGCGCGCGCGCACACACACACCACTCGCATAGAGATCTGAGATCGCGCTGTGCAAAAAGTAACATTCAGAAGCTCATAAACTTGTTGTCAGCGCTGCCACGCGACTTTTATTAATCTACTGAATCGCTACATTATATTTATCAGCAACGAGGGGGGTCAATTCGCTGTTTTTTAAGTAACTAAACCCAGCTTCATTGTTTGTAGAGAGAGACACAGAGGCAGACAATTTACACATCTCTCTCTCTCTCAAAATGGCCATATTTGAGAAAATAAATAGAGTATTTTGCATCACTGAATATAGCTGTCGGCAGTGTTGGGGAAAGTTACTTTTAAAAGTAATGCATTACAATATTGCGTTACTTCCTAAAAAAGTAACTAATTATGTTACTTAGTTACTTTTTATTGAAAGTAAAGCGTTACGTTACTTTTGCGTTACTTTTTAAATCTGGGCTGGGCTTGCTTGTTTGCTTTTAATATAAAAAGTTTTATTTTTGGCAAATGTAAAAGCCAAAATGTAAATTCACGTCTGTACAGTAGAACGCAGAAGAAGAAAGTTCAACACTCTTCAGCAATAAAAGAAGAAATGTTAGTTTATCTTGTGTAATTTTTGCTTACTAGTATGGTTGAATAGGATCATCGAAGGTCAGCAGCAAATTGGTTAATAAAATGGGATTAAATACATAAAGAATATTTGTATTATTTAACATATTTAATTATTGCAGCTTTGCGTCATATTCTGAGTTGCTTTTAACTGTTTGTTTGTTTGTTTTTATTTTGAGGAAAACTAAATCTTTTTTTTTTTTTGTGAGTGAGATGAATTAATGCATGTTCACATTTATTCTAGAACTAAAGTAACATCTTACTCCCGATTTCTTTCAACATGGGGACAGGAGAGCCTTCAATCAATAAATGGGAAAAAAAGTAACTGGCGTTACTTATTTGAAAAAGTAACTCAGATATTTTCTTGTAAATTAAAAAGTAATACGTTACTTTACTAGTTACTTGAAAAAAGTAATCTGATTACGTAACTCACATTACTTGTAATACGTTACCCCCAACACTGGCTGTCGGCCATTTAACATTTCTATCGTAAAACATATTTTTAAAAGTTGACTAAATGATTAAATGATTTGCAGCTTCATCTTACTTCGCTCTCTTTAACGTTAAACTGACACTTCACGCTCTGCTTCTGTGAACAGTAAACCCCACCTACTTTGATTTGATTGGCCATCTCAGTAATTTTGACATTGACGAGCGCCGTTAGACCGCTGAGGCTTTGATCTGAAGCGCCTAGCGGTTGCCTGCGCATCTGTAGACTAGCCCAAGTTAATTCTCTCACTTTAATATTATTTATAGCTCCTAACATGCTGTGTGACTATGAGAAGTTATTACCTCAAAATGTACGTCAGTATGCAGTTTTCCCTATTGCTCGCGTCCCAGCGATTATCCCTATCGTGCCGTAGGTTGCCGACCCCTGCTTTAGAAGAAGCAAAACCCAAGAAAGGCGAAGAAACATACTATTATGTGTGCAGTCTTGCAAACCACAACAATGCAGACAGTAATCATCCTCTTGCTCAAATTGGCCATTTAAGGTGGACTGAGATCAGTCTTTATTAAATATGATCAGCAGATATTTGGAGATATTTGAGATTTGTGTTGCATAGACAGCATGATGGGAGCACATTCAAAACACGTATCATGAGCATTAGAAATACTTTTGTGTAGCATAATTTGTTATAGTATATTTATTATACTTATTGTTTAGCTGTGTTTTTTTTCGTATACTGACTGACAATATAATTTTGGTAGATTTCACATTCTTCTTGCATTAAAAAAATTAATTATTATTTATTTGGTAAGCAGCTGCATAATACATGGACAGACCGATTGTACATTATTTCTCACATACACTACCTTATTTTAAAAAGTTACCAATACTGCATTTATTAGATCCAAAATATAATACAGCAAAAACTGTATTTTTGTGAAATATTACTACAATTTAAAAGAACAGGTTTTTATTGTACCATATTTTATTTCTGTGATGGCAAAGCTAAATTTTCAGCACCATTACAGCATCCGAAGGATCAAGTGTCACATGATCCTTCAGAAATCATTTTAATATGCTGATTTGCTGCTTACGAAACATTTCTTCTTATTGTTATCAATGTTGAATACAGTTATGCCGTTTCATGTTTTTATAGAAGCCGTGATACATTTTTCTGAATACTTTGATGTATAGAAAGTTCAAAATATTATATTTGAAATTAAAAATAACTTAAAACATGTCTTCAAAAAATCTTTATGACCACAAATGGTAGTGTATGCTTATTGCATGGTATTATCTATTTATTTATTTTGTAATCCAGGAGTACGTTTTGTCATGTCCTAGTATATAAGCTGACACTATAGGAATTGCTGATGAGAGTTTGACATAAAGGACATTTTTTGAATAACGATTACATTGATGGGTCATGCTTAAAAAAGCTTTATGGGATTTATGAAAATTAAATACTAAACTGTCTGCAAAAATGAATAAACTAACAAACAAACATCTTGTGTCCAATTTTCCATCTCCCTTTCAAATTGAAATCTGAAAATAGGGAGGCCTTTCTCTTTCCCAGCAGCGAACGCTAAAGCTAAATTTGAGGGATTTTTCCCCCTTTAGTGATGATGAGCTCAATAATAAATACATGTTTGGGTGGGTAAATAGGGCTATTCTTTTATATAACTTGCTTGCCATGGGAATACTCTATCAGCTGGGCCACTTCAGACAGTGACGAGTCTGATTTCAAGACACTATTATCATAGAGAGCTGTGAATGCCACTGACCCTCCTATCTAATATTCCATTTCCATAAACATTTATGCCAGTTCATCTTGCACTGAGGTTCACTTAATTGAGGCAACGAATCTGAATATGTAAGACAGGGCTGGCCACTGTTTGGCTGCGTCTCATACACAGAGGTGAATGTAATGTGTAAAATGATGCAAATTACTGCTTTGACGGCAACCTCTCTCTATTTCCCTCCGCACCGGCGTTTACTTTTTCCGCTTTCCCTCTGTTCCACGTTGTTTTGAGCATTTGGATGTATTTGCGATATTTGATGAAAAGTGCCCCAGTGCGTTTTTAGGCAAGCATTTGATACATTAATATATGGGGTGTGTGGGTTGTTGTTATGATATCTATGAGCTATGAATAAAAGACGTCTCTCGGCATCCTATGCAGCAATACGCTTCGTGTAAATAGACTGCGGTTAGGCTGCGTTTGTTGTCTGGGCCAAGTTATTTTCATAATACCTGTGATCACGTACGATTATAGCTCTGCGATTATATTTGATGAAAGTGTATCATAGTGATATTGTTCCTTTTGAAATAGTCTGTTTATAAAGTAAAACAAAATGCATGCGTGTCATGTCAAAAATCGCAGATATTCCCTTATATTAAAAAAAAAATGTAATTTATTGATTAAATAGATAGAGATAGATAGATAGCCAAGCAGACACATGCTTAAAAAGATTTTTGAACTGTTGCAGCATGTTTTACAAGAAAATACTGTCCACTTATTTCCATGTTCCACGTTTAGACAATTCATTGTAAATAATTGTGAAATTAATAGCAATTTGAGTGCAAATTGTCTCTACACCAATTTTATTTTTCAGTCTATAAGTATAAAAGGATCTATACCTATCATGAGAATATAGCATATGAATATAAACATCTATACGCCTCCACAGCTATGCTAATAGAAGGCGCTCTTTGGATCAGAGTTTGTGCAAGGTAGCAGTAGCACCTCCTACACTGGTCTAAGCTGTGACCCACAGCAGCACTGATTTACCATTGATTAGACCCCTGAAAGAGCCAAGAGCTGTGGAGTGAGGTAATGATTCAGAGCAGCAGAGAGAGCGCCCTCTACTTGTCACCGGCTGCCACTGTCACGGTACCAATGGCTGGGCTAAATATGAGTTCCCTCTGCTGGCCAAGAACCAGAACTGCAGGACAACAGGCTGGGAGGCTTTTCTATTTATTTGTGGTTGTGTACACAGACAGCACCTCAAGGGAACTGGGTCACTGCATTTATTGCCCTTTTTTTTAACTCTGGTATTAATTTAGTATCACAAAATGAGGACCTCACCTCGGAAATAAAGAAAGTGTCATTTTTGGCTCGGTGAATTAAATGTTGTTATGCGTACAGAGGATATTCTTTTTTAGTAGACAAAAGCAGGTGGACATAGAGAGGCACAAAGAAAGAGAGTGACCCCCACTGGCTACTGCTGCTTATTGCTACCCCCGTTACCCCCACCCCCCCCCGCACACGCTCATTCACTGGTGCACGGCTGAAGACACACTCACCAGTGTTATTTTAGTTGACTAAAATCATAAAAGGGAAAAAAAATGTGTTACTTGAATTAAACAATAACTACGAAACAAAATATTCAAAAATAATAATTTTAGCTATTTGGCAGATTTGTATTTCTCATTGCAATATTTCTAGTTTTAATTTAGTTTAATTTGATGTACTTAAACTAAAACTGAAATAAAAATGAATAAAAACAATATAGATCATCTAGACAAAAATATGAAAATAAAAAATTAGTAGTATCTCAATGACACAAAACATTTGTCAAACTAGAACAACTCTTACAAGGGTGTGTAAAAGTGTGGACTATAAATCCTGCTGGAGTTACACAAGCATTTGTTTTCCTCAATGCGAGAAGCTGATGAAATATTGGTTAAGATGTTATACAAACCCACTACTAATCCTAACCTTTTATTTTTCATAAAGCAACAGTGGGGACATTAAGAAACAGCGAGCGAGCGAGATCTGCGCTACATGCCTGCAGTAGCAGAGGACACGATAGCGGCTGAAGAGGAGGAAGCTGTGGCATGCAGCCTTAAACAAAGCGCAGGAACAAGAGGTCTTTACATGGAGTGCAGCTGCTTATTCCAGCACTCTCCTTCCTGAATCACTGCAGCACACAGGCGTAACAAATACTGCCTGGTCCGTCAGCACAGCCTCTGAATTATAACACAATAAAACGCTGTGTTCGATAAAAGTATTTCGCAGTAAAAACGGCACGCTGACGAGAGCGCAGGGAAGGGAATAAAAAATTTTTTTTTTTTAAAACGGGGGTGGATATGAAAGACCCCAATTCTCTTCAGTGCCATAATAGTGAAATGAACACACATAAATGTGTTAAGAGTATCTCTTTGCATCTTGTATAGACTGCATGTATTTAATCTGGAAAGCTTATTATGGGCGAGTCATTGCTATGCAAAGCAGCGCCTGACGCTTTTCTCTGGTCTTTTCAGCCCAGCGCAGTGTTTGGCCAATAGGCCTGGCCCCCGCCTCTCATTGGGCATTCATAACATGCAACATTTGCACAATGTATCTCTCAAAGACTGCTGAATAGGGGGCCTTAATACTCATGTAAACAACTGCAAACCAATTACTTAATGAATCAGCCTCACACATAATGAGGAGGTGCACAAAGGCCCATAAATGAATTTTTTGCACCAAAGCCCTGGCTTTAAACTCCGATTCTTCAGCTATGGTCTCGGCTTAAGAGCAAAATCATAATTACGGCTAAGAAAGAGAGGCACTTGATTTATTTTATTTTGCTTTATTACTATTTTGTCGGGAGTTTTGGTCTGAACCAGAAGGTCTTTTAATGTGCCCATCGGCTCAGTGACAGAATGACAGCAGTAAGTGACGGAGACGAGAGAGCGAGAAAGCAGAGAGGACGGGGGAACAGCACATGTAGTGTTCTACTGGTGCTCGAGTGCAGGGTACTTGTCGAGGCAATAAAGCGCAAGAAGTGACTGGCAGAAGAGGAATTCTTCAACACAGCACAAAAAAAAGTGCCACACAAAATTTTACCTGAAAGCAAAGCAAATGCACCAATGCTAACCTTCATCTTTTGCTGTGAGCTTTAAACAACCTCTAACCCTCCACAAGCGATGGCAAGTCTCCGGCAGGGTTCTCTCAGGAGCTCTGTAAGGTTCTGGGATGATCCAAAAGCATCTCGCACTAGAGACAGCTTATGTTTATTAATGAGGCCATTCATTGGGCAGACTGTGGCATCCATCAGAGTGCTCTATCAGAGAGTGCGATCATTATACCTTTCCTCTGCAAATAGTGTAAACTAGCTGAGAGAGAGCGAGGGGAGGTGGGCAGAGTGGGCATAAAGAATGGGCAGAAGAGACAGAAAAGAAGAAAGAGGGGGGAAAAAAAAGACGCAGACACAGGGAGGGAGACTTTCGTCCCTTGTGTCAGCGTGATGCTCGGAAAAGCATGTGAAATCAGAGACGATTACTCTTCTCGAGGTTCACCCATCCATTACCTGCCCTAATGGATTGACGGAGGAGAGGCGCTGCTGGGAGGGCTGCGTGTCTTAGCTGATTGTGTGAACTTGTGTTGATGTGAAAACCTAAATATTGTACCCTCAAGATCCTTTTTCATCATTCAAAGTCCTGATTTACTGAAGCAATCAAATAATGCCGATGATGAGAGAGGAAGCTCTGAATGAAAATACAGCTTGACTGATGCCTCCCACGTGAACTTGTGTTAATGATGCTAAGAGTGTTTCAAGGACAAACACATTGCTTTTTTATTTTATTATATATATATAATTTTGTGGGTACTTACCGGCTATTTTGCATTAAAGATTCCCGGAGCGCCTCAGACCTCTCCAATTTGTTGATGTCTTTGGATAAGAAATACATAATTTAAATAAAAAATCTGACCATGGACCACAAAACCATTCATAAGGGTCAATTTCTCGAAATTGAGATTTATACATCATCTGAAAGCTGAATAAATAAGCTTTCCATTGATGAATGGTTTGCTAGGATAGGACAATATTTGGCCGAGATTCAACTATTTGAAAATCTGGAATCTGATGGTGCAAAAAAATCAAAATAATGAGAAAATCGCCTTTAAAATTGTCCAAATTAAGTTCTTAGCAATGCATATTACAAATCAAAAATTAAGTTTTGATATATTTACAGTAGGAAATTTACAAAATATCTTCATGGAACATGATCTTTACTTAATATCCTAATGATTTTTGGCATAAAAGAAAAATCAATAATTTTGACCCATACAATGTTTTTTTGGCTATTGCTAAAAATATACCCCAGCGACTTAAGACTGCTTTTGTGGTCCAGGGTCACAAATAAGGGAAAGGGTGTGCTATTATTACACATTTATACTACAATATTAAAAATGCATTATATGCATATATACACAATTTTGTAATGCATTTAGAAATAGCATATATTTGTCTGATAAAACACAGATAATATTTACTATGAATAACAGTCAACTCTCCAGATGTTTTTAAATGTAACTGGGTTGAATAGGCATTGTACATGTAGTTTAAAAGAGAAAGGGCTATTTATGTACATACATTCTTATAATTAAAAAGTGATTTACAATTAGGGGCAATAGAAAAAAAAACATGTTCGTTTATGGTTATCTGCCAATATCTGGCAATTATGGTGCTGGTACTTTAGGCCTGAGGTGCGGGAAACAAATGAACTTGAACTTTTTAGGCACAAATGGCACAGTTTCCTAAGAATGGGCCATTTAAAAATAATTATTTACAAACACACTCTGGACAAACAACCTGCAAACTCTCCAGCAAAATTTAATAGTTACAATAAATGTAACAATTCAACTTTAGATCATTTTCTATTATTTTCCTTTACCTGACGGCTCAGAATCCTCCTCTGAGTCACTCCAGTGCCTCTCTTGTGCCACAGACTGTTTAAGCAGCTGATATTCCTTGGTCTCTATAGAAAAAAAATACAAAATGTGAAAGCAGCTAGTCAAATATTTACTAAAGACCTCGACTTCCAACTTTCCAGAGCCCTGATGTTTGATGAACCAACATCAGCTCTTTAAGGCCACTGATGAGCAAAGAGAGGAGGTGAAAAACAGAGTGAGTGAGCACTAAACTATTGATCTAATCCAGACGCACATAGACGGGCTGCTGTCTCCGGAAAAAAAAAAAAAAGAGCCCGCCGGCTTTTGTGTTGCCACACATCTTATAGGATTCCATTCAAAACTCTCAGTCTTTCATGTTCTATAAACTTTGGAAATTGAGATCTTTAACCAGTGAGCATTCAAGCTTAAAATATTTTTGAAAACGAGCCCTGGAAAACAAAAGTATGAGTTTTAAATGCTGAAAGCAAACGGGAAAAAAAAAATGCAAAGTGGTTACGCTCCCAAAGACAAAATACTTTCCAGCATCTCGTTATCCTGATATCTGCAGTATGGTATGTAGTTTGTTTCTTCCGGTGTAATGACTGCAAAATATAGGCATCAGTAGCATGTAGAAAGAGCATCTAAAGATTTCCTTTTTGTCCGCCATATACATAAAACACTATTGTGCGTGCCGGCGCTTTACCAACATGGAGACGGCGGAAGGCCAACATTCGGACGCTGTTTCCACTGATGATTGCAAAGTGATGTAATACGAAAGGCAACAGAACTCAACGCAGTCTTCATTAGCCGCCTGTAAACAGCTCATAAGCAGCCAGGGACAGCAGAGGCGGTTTTCTACTACCATAATTGCAGCTCAGAGAGACGATGGAAGAGCGAGACAGAGGAGAAACGAGAAAGAAAAGAAAGAGAAAAAGCTGGGGAAGGGGGGTGGGGAGCTTTTTGAATCGGAACAGCAGGACTGATTAAAAGGGAGAATGAAGGCTGGCTGGCTTTGTCAGAAATGAGATTTGGGCAAAAGTGTATTCTCACGAGGGTCAGAGCTCTGGCATCCTGCGAGTACTCGAGGTCCCCTCTTCCTTCATCAGAACGGAGCCACCGAGCTGATGCTTCTCTGCTTTGGCACTGGAAATGAGCCGTTCATGTGCTTTGCCTGCTTTTGGGGAGTCCCTCTCAGTTTCTCTCTCTGATCTAAACTGTCTGGCCGAGCACGGCTCTTAACACCTGTGCGTATTTTAACAGGCTATTCATCTGAAGCCGGAAAAACTGATCTTTGCAATAAGCAGAATTTGTAAATGCATAAAAGTGCCAGCTAAGTGGAAATGTCAAACAAGCCTACTAACCTTGTGTTCCAACAGTTTGCTCATTTGTTGTGGAAGGCCTGGCGGGCTTGATTTCCACACTGTCATCCAGAAGAGAGGGCAAGCTGCAAGAAGATGACGGCTGATGGTTCTCGGATTCGTGGGTCAGAAGCCTCTTCAACAGCTCCGCTGCCTGGATGACAAAGAGACGACTTGTCTTTATTTCAGGGTTCCACCACCTAATATTTCCAGTCATGCATGATTAGAAAAAATGATATTTCACAAAAACGAATCCTTTTGCAGGCCTGTAAATCGCAGTTTTGAAATCCCATGATATTTCCAGATCACGTTATTCATAATGATATCAATATGTGTACAGTGTCCAGATTCAGCCTGACTAGATTGAATGTGCTTTTTGTTTTTAATGTTTGGAATTTGCTAAAAACAACAACAACAACAACAAAACATGTAGGATTCCCGCATAGAATCAGCAGCACCCACTGAATGTCTGTTAATTAAACATTTTGGCAGTACTATTTAACACATTTTACCATGTATTTGAATTTAAAAATCTCATCTCCAGAATAATTTTCTAGCAAAAATCAGTGCAGAAAATATGCAGATTCCATCTGAGCCACTCACTGCTCAGCCTCTCATCTTTTCACATACAATTCTACAAGATCTGAGGGCTGATACCACAGACAATGCACTGCATGAGGGAAGCCAGTGACTGACTTTAAAAAATAAAAAATAAAATCGTTATCTTTATTCAAAGCTCTGCTCTCAACTTAAAACTGCTGTTAAGCAATATTACAAAACACTAATATTGCTACGTCTTTGTAAACTGTTAGTAAGATTGTCATCCTCGGGTCAGATCCTGAGATCAGAATTTAGTTTCTCTGCATGAGATACAGAACAAACAGAACAACTGAAATATACATGAGCAATATATAAACCACAACTATAAAGCAAGCCAAATAGTCACTATGCAAGTAAAAAATGCTGATAAATTCTGTGCTGTGTCAAGAGAAACTATCAGAAATAATGACAAGGAAAGGAGGTCAAATGTCCACCATTATCACATCCTAGCAATAGATTCACACATCAGAGGCCAAATGCCACATAACACAGCCTTATAACAACAGGAGAGTAACACCAACCCCATGACCTCATTTTAACAAAAAAGAAAAGAACTTTATAAAGCTGGAATTTATAGCAGGGCTGCTCTAGGAAAGACCCATATACATTTACAGGGTGAGGTCATTTTACTGGGCCAGCTGCATCATATTCTAAAAACATTATTTTCTCGTAATTATTACATATTTCCGGGATAATAATGCCTCCATATTCACCACTACAGACATTAAAAAGTGGTTTTATGGACACTAACATGAATCACTGAAACTTTAAGGGCATTTTCAGCAATGCTGAAGTAGATTTCCATTTTAATTAATTAAGAAAGTTTCCTGCTGTAAACAGTTAAGGACCCGTGGAAGAAAGAAAGAACGAAAGAAAGTAATTGGTTACGTCGCAGTGTTGGAAATATTTCTGTTTAAAACCATGAAGGCGAGCCAATGGATATCACACAAGCAACGATACGTGCAAACTTTGTGCAAGAGTTATGCTGGTGAACATCTTAATCTCAGTCAATTTACTATGCAGAAAGTGAAAGTACAAACGGAATGACGGAGTAACGGAGCTTTCGGCATCTGACGCGCATATTCTCTCAGAGACAGCGAGAGACGAATCTACTTCAACATATGCTGATAACGGTATATAGCTAACTGTTTTAATTTATTCCCTTAATATTTCTCTTATGGCCCGTACATAATGAAAAAAAATGAGAAGAAACATACTGTATTTCATGTTAAACAGGTTGTTTTTGAAAGTCGGTGCTTGAAATAACGTAATTTACACCGCTGGCGCAAATTAATTGAAATCTTGATTTAATAATAAAAGTAACTTCATAATAATAATAGGCCTAATAAAATAGCTAACTGTTTTAATTTATTCCCTTAATATTTCTCTTATGGCCCGTACATAATGAAAAAAAATGAGAAGAAACATACTGTATTTCATGTTAAACAGGTTGTTTTTGAAAGTCGGTGCTTGAAATAAATGCTTATTTTATTGATGACTGCAGTGTTAATATTTTAATTATAGGTCTATAATTCATTGTACAATAGACCTGTTTTAAAAGACTTTTTTAAAAACATTTTAATCAAGGAGTAAATAGCCTAATCTTTTGTTATCCTCGCAGCGCGTCAGTTATGCCGTAATTTACACCGCTGGCGCAAATTAATTGAAATCTTGATTTAATAATAAAAGTAACTTCATAATAATAATAGGCCTAATAAAATAAGAATGTAACAGGCCTACATTAATTGGAAATGCCAAATCCTCTTAATATTGCCAATAATTGATGTTTTTGACAATATATCTGGCTATCGTCAATACAAGATCGTCTTTCGATGCAACCCAGCAAGGGGAGATGATCGCAGGCATAGATATATATATACATATCGTTGCCTGTTATGTCATTTGGGCTGTCTTTTTGAGCACAGTGGCACTGAGAAAATTATATTTTACACATTTTAAGCTCTTTTATTTTCCAAATGTAATAGGATTAGTCCAACGAATCGTTCGGTTTGTAATGCGTACCGAACCAAAAGCCTCGTACCGAACGGTTCAATACGAATACGTGTATCATTACAGCCCTAATAGATAGATTTGACTAAAATAAGTAATAAACACAATTTATCACCACAAAATGATTTAGACAATTTAGACTATGGCTGTAGACAGTTCACCATATTATATAACAGGTCTGTGCCAATAATACTTGCAGTATTAAAAAAAACTAAACTAAACTGAGACTGAGAAATGATTGTGAAGCAGAAATCAGGTAAGAGCGATACCTTCTCAGTGTAGGTGGCATTGCTTGGCACTAGGAGTGGAGTGACGAGCTGGATGATGTGGTCAACGCTGAGGATTTTCTGTTGCTGAAGCAGTAAGAAGTGTCTGAAGCAGCAGTCCCACAGCAGAACACTTTCAGCTGACAGACACGACCTGCATGCCCAAACCAGGACAAACAAATGTAATACAAACACACCCGCATTCATATACATCACAATCAAATAATGGCAAAAAACATTAATATATATTGTATGTGACTCTAGAGCACAAAACCAGTCTTAAGTCGCTGGGGTATATTTCTAGCAATAGCCAAAAATACATTGTATGGGTCAAAATTATTGATTTTTCTTTTATGCCAAAAATCATTAGGACATTAAGTAATTTTGTAAATTTCCTACTGTAAATATATCAAAACTTAATTTTTGATTAGTAATATGCATTGCTAAAAACTT